CCCCAAAACCCCAAAACCCCAAAACCCCAAAACCCCTGTAATTTGGGATAATAAATTATATACAAAGATGCAAGTACAGAAAACCACAAGAAGCGCTTTGAAGAAGTCACTCAAAATAGAAAGATTTCCTGAATTTGTTCATTCCAAGATTACTTCATATCGGAAAGGTTGTAAGGTCTGTAAACTGAAAAGGAGCACTTCAGGAGGAAATCTTAGGGTAAATAAGACCTCTGAGAAGTTAAAGACTAGCCCTAGAGGTCAGTTTAATGCTCATTTGTTGATTAGCCCTCCAAAGGTATTGAAATAACAAGGGAGTGCAGGTTTCTACTACTCTAGAGGGACCTTCAAAAGATCTCTTAATATCTAAAATAGAAATAGCCATCCAGTCTTATAAGTCTGAAGTTGATATTTTAAAGCGAAAGCATAATGCTGAGCTGATGGAAAACTTGAGACTGGTCGAGGACCTCCATAGAACAATCGAAGAAATCTCTAGAGAGAACACAGAGAAGGACAGGTTCATCAACCAATTGAAATAACAACCTTGAATTGATGGAAGACAAGGTAAATGAAATGACCAAACAAAGGGATAACTGGAGGAACGAAGTAGACCTCTTTAAGAATTATGAATACGCCTCCATATCTGAGTTGCGCAAGACCATGGAAGATACGGATGACTATGAAACCCAAGTCCGTGATTTTAAGGATCAAATATTTGCCTTTCTATTAACCGAAAGGAACCGAGGGATGGATAAAACTAGAGCTGAGTTCTATAAGAGCATTATCAACCTCCTCAAGTTTGCTAATGATAGTGAGAAAGAGACGAAGTTCGATCTCTCTTCACTGGTGAGCTATTTCTCAACAGAAGGGAAAGAACATTTTGGCCAAGATTATCAATTCCATAATTTTGATCATGACGAAAAGTATCATGTTAAAGCTGAGTCCGATTATTATGGAGACTTTCGCAAAAGTACTGAGAAGGATAATAAGAGCGAGACTGGCATAGTCTCCTTTCAGAAAGGCTATAAAAGAATGAACAGCCAGGAATCTGCCAACTTCTTGAGTATTAATGATGCAGCCTGACTTACAGAGATAGGCTCTACTACTTCGAAGAAAATGAAGAAAAAGAAAAATAAAAGGACTAAACTCTTGGAGGAAAAAGTTAGAGATTTATCAAATACTGTCACAAAGCAAAAAGCTGAAGTAGAGACTCTTCAAAGTAAATTGAAGGAAAGCTCTGTAAAAGCTCCTAAAGGGCTCCAGACTATCAAAAATATGGCTTCACTTGAAAGGTCTAGTAATATACGTACGACTAAAAGGTTTCACTCTCCGGTATCTTTGCTATCTTCCTCTCCAAGGGAAACCCGTATTCCTCCTCCTTCTTGTGATGAAGCTCTGCTTCAGTATGTTCATCTGTTATCAAAGTGAACAGAGGAGAGTATTGAAGAGCGTAGAACTATCCGTAAATCCACTGGATTTCAGCACCTGAGCGCTTTCAGTCCTAGAAGTTAATTCAAATATTACTCTTAAATATGGGGTTTTGGGGTTTTGGGGTTTTGGGG